TCAATAACAGCCAGTAATCTGGCCAGTAATCCATTGATTTTGTTAAACCTTTTACTTCAGCAGGTTCAATTTCAAATAAGGTGGTTTTAATTTTTTCCATAGGTCTGTTTTGCTGTCATATTGTTTGCTGCCTTCATATAATTTCATCTTCGAAACTGATTTAAAAAAAAAAAGAACATTTCGAAAGCAAATTCGAATTATTGAGGTTTCTGCGATTTACACAATAACTTCAGACGGACTATATATATATATATATATATATATATATATATATATATATATATATATATATACACACGTTGTGCTAGTACCAAAACACAAGTCATCGTGACTGAGGGTTTTAGCGTGCTGGCCTTGTTCAGGCTGATGATCACGCTAGATAACGCGCTCTCTTCCAGAAACTGTAGCTAAGGTCCGCTCAGAATAGTTGTAGTATAAACCAAAAGTAGCCTCTCTGTGTGTGTTGAACAAACACAAAATGTGGCTGAGCAGGCTGGGATTAGCTAGCCGTTTCAGTAGACGTGCATCCTCGGATACGAGAAGACAGCCACTATTATCTATCTATCTATCTATCTATCTATCTATCTATATATATATATATATGATAAAATATAGTTTTAAGGTATGCTATATTTATGGATTAAAGTGCTCAGTATCAGGGATAGACCAAATGTAAAAATAAAAATGCCCTGTCGATTGCGTATAAGCATGAAACAGACTGTCACCGCTGGGTGTTAACTTCAATGTCTACTTATATAGATCCTCTCCTCTCTCTCTCTCTCTCTCTCTCTATATATATATATATATATATATATATATATATATATAGAGAGAGAGAGAGAGAATGAGATTGTATGTATTGATAATAACAGCAACAATGGTGATTATGATAAGGCCTGGTGCTTAAAATGTGACGAAATGCAGCCGGTTTAACTATAGAAATAACAGAACAATAAACTAATTGCTTAGATTAAAGTTTGTAGCGAAACAAGCGCTTGTTTAGACAAGTACAAGGTACATAAGCACAATCACATACTTTCATTCATCAACACACAGACTCGAAAGCTGCTTCGATATCAATAAAGTACTTGTATAGACATGTACCTGCATTAAATAGGTTTACTTTGAACAACCATATTTTGCCTGACCGTAAACAATTCTTTATTTTTAGTACATCTAGCTAATTCACAATTATCGGTCAATGAACGAATTTTTACATTACGAATATTTTCTTCAAAAACACGTTACAGATGCTCTTCATAAAGCGAATAAAAATTCAGAGTCGAAAATGACCTCGTTTTTTTACTTTCTCCTTTAAGTTAATAGTCCTCCTCCTCTTCTTTTTTGCAGCAAATGAACTTACCTGTTTATAAGATACAGTAATGAGATTTACAAATGCAATAAAAAGATGCAGAACGGGCTCATGTTCTCAGGTGAAATGAATTAGAAAGACTATATTGAATCCACTGCTAGGTCAAATGCTAAGAAAGTTGATTCACTGTGTCGTGCGAGACAATTTTTCTATCCAGAATCTATCTTAGATATCTATGTCTACCATTCTTT